GTTGTGTAGCTGGTTTTAGTAGTTTGGGTTAGATTTAGATTTTTGGAAATTATTGCCACCCATTTCCTTAGTATCTGAAGATCAAATGACCTGTTATTTCTTAAAGGAGAGTCTGGCAGAATAGTGTCAAAATATTGGGATGTAGATGAGATTAACATTAAAGAGATGAAACTGCTAACCTGTTTTTGGTGAATATCCCATGTTTTGAGAGAGTGATGTAATTGAATGATGATTTACTCTTAAGTTATCATCTTTGCTTGATCATGGATTTCTTGCAATCACTTTTCAAAAACTTGGGGTAGAAGTGTAATTGTGGAAAATACACATGCCCAACATGAGTAGAATTTGTGCATACAGAGAACCAGTTAGACATGTACCTAGTCATCCACACATGCATGCAGCTGCATGTTTAAAGGGGGATAGATGTTTCAAAAGTTTGCTGCATGTTGTTTGAAGTTAATCTTTCAGCATCAGGGTTGTGTAGCATAGTTTATAGCCTGCTCTGAATCAACAACAAAGATGTGCAGTGCAGTTTGCTAAGGTGGAAGCTGTCTCAGCCTAGGATCCTTAGAAACATTAGATAAAATATTTGGTGGTGATGAGAATGGTACATAGTAGCTAAGCACTGACACTACAGCTGTATATGAGTCATCTTTAGGTGGCAGAACCAGTGATGGTGATGCTGGCGCCTTCCGGTCTACTAGTTTCCTCTCTGTATCCATCTCTCATCCCAAATGTATTTTTTTTTCCTAGGGACACTTGAGATTGATTTGTGTAAAGACAACTTATTTTCTAGAGCCTAATTACTTTGATAATGCCACTGCATATTTTAAATTGACTTGAATACTGTACTTCCCTGTTCTTGTAGCATTTTCCCTGCTAGTATTGTTAGATTAATCAAATTTTTCTAAAAGCCATCTCCAAAATATAACATGTAATTTTTTGAAAATGAGTTTCTGTAGTACAGAAATTCACTTTATTTTAACCAAGATACAGTGTATCTTGTGTACATTATAAATGCAACGATTTATATGATTTATAACTAGGTACTGTACTGAAAATTCCTTTCTAATGAGGAACTTGACATAAATAAAATTGCTAAGTCATTCTGGAAAAATACATTAATCAGTTTTCATTTTGTGTGTTTCAAATGTCTTAGTAGGAAAAATAATTACCATACTATAGTGCAAATCACTTATTAATTTATATTTTTAAGTTAAGTATCCAAATATATGATGGCTGAAGAACAGTGTGCAGATATTTGGCACTTACAGACCCTTTCCTTTAAGGACTTCAAAGCATTTTACAAACAGTTAATTTAAATAGTGTCGTTTCTGTGACAGTTTTATCTAAGGTCCATACCTAAAGGATAAGTGTCAGGGTCTAGAACCGTCCTGCCTGTTTGTTGTAACCACTTGTCTTATACTTAGATTGCAAGTTCTTTGGGACAGTGATAGAATTGAAGTGTTTGTATAGTGCTTAGCACAGTGTGGTTCTGGTCCCTAATCGGGGCTCCTAAGTACTGCCACAATACAAATAACTAACAGTGTCTCTCACAATGAATCAGTTCCTGGTTACAGATAGAACCAGAACTCCAGCCCCCTTTTCTGATCACTAGCCAACCCTCCAGTGTCCAAATATAGGCTTAAAACTTAAACTGACTTTAGGAAAGTTCACAAAAGCCCACATCCTCCTGAACTGTTTTTCTTTGTGTCAAGGCTGTAAGGGTGTGCTTTTAGGCTGGCTGAATTAGTGATTGTAATCTTAATTTTTTGTTGCCGCTTTTGTTACCTCTTGTTTTCACAGTAAGGATCACATGGGTTTTTAGTCATTTTTCACTGAAGCTTTTAAAATACCTAATGCTAGCACCATTTTATTCTGCTATGTAAATAAGCTCAGGCTTAGTAGAAGTAGTTTGATTCTCAGTGTCTTGTTTTCCAGGTTATTGTGGGGGCCTGGGAGCACTGTGGGGCATGATAGAGAGTCTGTGTACACTTCTCTTGCCTGATGGCTTCTTCTGCTCAGTCCCTCCAGTAACAATTTTGCTTAGTTCTTCCCCTATATCCAAGAATGCACATTCCTTAAATTAGCAAAGGTGAACACATTGATGTGTTACCACATTTGATTAACAAACAAACCTAGTTCTCTCATATTTTAGCATAGTTGCTGTTGTGTCTGCCACTTATTTCTTTCTCCTCCTCGGTCTACTTCATCAGTGGTGAAACACCCGGTTATGCACAATTAGGATGATTCATGCTCAAAGATGTTTGTGCCATTCAACAGGAATGGTACAAAGGATTTTCTTTTCCTCAGTTTTGTTGGCTCTTATTTTTGTTTCTCACACCCTAACCTTTTTTTAATGTAAATTATTTTAATACCCATTGAGTCATAGCTGCAGCTGCTACACCCTGCAGATTTCAGGACACATTTAAAAAGGGAAGATATTAATTTTTTAGAATGTGTGGATAGATGTGAGTTTAAGGAAACTTGCAGTAGCACTACTATGTTCTTATTTTCATCCATTCTTGTTATCTCTGACTTAGTCTGCAGGATCCTATAGGCACGGAGCAGTTACTTATTTATGTCCATTTTGTAATGTAGTATGTTTTCCACTTAGATCTTTCTTTATTAAGCATACCCCATAGCCTTTTAATTCACTAGTGTAGCTGTAAGGCTAGTGTTAGATTTAAAAAAAAAAAAAACCCACTTGATTGCTTCCTTTCTTGTCAAGCCAGAGCAGGTTTCACAAAATAATCAAGACTTGAGAATGCCAACCATCTGGAGTCTTGGGATGATGTGAGAGGATGTGAACAGTTTGCAATTGATTACAACATACTTCACTGCCTAAAAAGATGATTTCTTGTGTCCCCTTCTCACAAGCCTCCTGAGAATGGGCAGTTGCAAAATAAAAGGGAATATACATACAATAGCATTTGTATTTCAGTGTTCTCATGGTGATGTCTATCTTATATTTAGGTTGTCGGTTAGAAGAAATTGTTTATGGCATTCATAATTTCAGTTTTTGAAGGCAGTACTACATATTAAAATAACATGACCTTCATGTCAGTTTTTCAGTGTAACAGAAAATAAGTGCACAAAGTGCAGAGAGAAGAGAAAGGAGAACTTTGCCTTTTTTAATTTAAGAAAACTATACATCAATAAGACTTTGCCTTAGTGTAATTTGTTATCTTGGCTACATATCAGAAAATTGAGGTCTGATTATCTTATTTTGATATTAAAAAAAACCAAAACCCTAGCCTAACACTTGTGTTTATATAGGGTGTCAAATTTGAACATTATACAACTTCTAAAAATATTCTTTTATAAGAAGGGCCACATAGCTTCCCATTTCCCATATAGGCTCTTCCTCATATAGGTAACAAAGTTACCACTTGTGGAATTTCCATTTAATAGTCCCATCATGTGGAGGCGTGGTTTGTATGCCTCTCCCCACAATGGAACTGGCAGGCAGTTGACCCGTCCTAACCCTGCATACCCCTCTGAGATCTAATTAAGGCCCTCTCTACTCATGAAAATGAGACAAAAAGGACATTTTATTTAATCGGTATGACTCTAGAGGTGAGGCATTGCCTGAAATTCATGACCAAATAATCTCCTACTTGTCATAATTGAAGGGAAATGCTATGGATTTTGTTCGCTGTCATTCATTTTGGTAAGTAAATGTAGTGTTCGTGAAAGGTATTGGATTGACATCCCAGAGGCCAAAGTTGGCTGTCTAGCCACAGAACAAATACAGCATAGGCCATGACAAAGCAAACATCATCATCATGAATCCCTGCAACTGTGCCTCAATTCTTACTTGGAGGGACCTTCCTCTAGGGCCAAGAGGGAGATTCTCTCTCACCTTTCATAAGAACGGCTGTACTGGGTCAGACCAAAGGTCCATCTAGCCCAGTATCCTGTCTACTGACAGTGGCCAATGCCAGGTGCCCCAGAGGGAGTGAACCTAACAGGTAATGATCAAGTGATCTCGCGCCTGCCATCCATCTCCACCCTCTGACAAACAGAGTCTAGGGACACCATTCCTTACCCATCATGGCTAATCGCCATTAATGGACTTAACCTCCATGAATTTATCTAGTTCTCTTTTAAACGCTGTTATAGTCCTAGCCTTCACAACCTCCTCAGGTAAGGAGTTCCACAAGTTGACTCTGTGCTGTGTGAAGAAGAACTTCCTTTTATTTGTTTTAAACCTGCTGCCTATTAATTTCATTTGATGACCCCTAGTTCTTGTATTATGGGAATAAGTAAATAACTTTTCCTTATCTACTTTCTCCACATCACTCATAATTTTATATACCTCTATCATATCCCCTCTTAGTCTCCTCTTTTCCAAGCTGAAAAGTCCTAGCGTCTTTAATCTCTCCTCATATGGGACCCTCTCCAAACCCCTAATCATTTTAGTTGCCCTACCTGATTAGTGCTTGCTTGTTGGCAGTATTATTAAAAAATTGTTGTGCTTTTTGTGATGTAAACAGTTAATGTTGACCAGTAACTTGATTGTGACTAGCAAATAGTGACTGCTAAACCGTCCGAGAGCTATCTTAAAATAAAATCCTTTAATACACCATGGTATTGCCAGTATTTGGAATATGAAATGCTGCGGTAAGTATGACCTTCATAAGGAATAAATGTAACCTTTTAATGAAACTTATTAAAGTGAACTGGATCAGAACCAATTACCTAGAGATTAAAGCCTTCATTTATCTCTTGAAGAATCCAGTGTCCCTTTAGAAGAACATTTTTTTAGAGCTGGCATTTTACTCCTCTTGTCTGCAAAAAGCTTATTCGGTCCATTTGAAAGTGAAATACATAATATTCCTGTGTTTCTCACATTTACTCTATCATTTATTAGGATTAGGTATAGAACTCTAAACATTAGCTATAGAACAAAATAATCAGCTTCTTAGAAAGGAGTGAATGGTAATTGTTTTTTTGTCACTAGTTTATTTGATTTCCTATTATCTTTTTTATTTCAGCTTTTCAGAGAAGTAAGAATAATGAAGATATTAAATCATCCAAATATAGGTATTTCATGTTTTCCTAACATGTTGGTTCTGTGTAACTAACTTTTTAGAAGACTGCTTGTTTTTGGAGTGATTGCACATGTCCATTTTGCTTTTGGTGTGCGTGAGCTCCAGTGCACAGTTGTCAGAGTTTTTTTTCCCTTAGTGGTATCTGGTGAGGCAGCATGAGCACCCACTGCTGACTCTCATACCGCAGGCAGGCATAAAGAGCTGTACCTCCCCAGGGTACAGAACAAGCTGGCGGACCACCTCAGCAGGTCGTTTCACAGCCAGGAGTGGTCCATTCTCCCGGACGTCACGATTTCAATCTTCCAGAGCTGGGGCTTTCCCCAGATAGACTTATTCGCCATGCGACACAACAGGAAGTGCCAGCAGTTCTGCTCCTTCCAAAATTACAGCCCAAGCTCCAGCGCGGATGCGTTTCTCCTCCACTGGGGAGGTTCTCTCCTATACGCCTTTCTGATCATACCGATCGTTCACAAGGTGGTACTCAAGATCCGGAGAGAACTAGCTCATGTCATATTGATAGCACCAGCCTGGCCCCGTCAGCACTGATACACATCTCTCCTAGACATGTCTGTGGAAGCCCCGATCACCCTGCCGCTCTTCCTGGACCTTCTGACACAAGAGCACAGTTGTCTTCAACATCGGAACCTCAAGTCACTTCACCTTGCAGCGTGGAAGCTCCATGGTTGAACCTGATGGAGCTTTCCTGTTCAGACCAGGTTAGACAGGTCCTCCTTGGCAGCAGAAAACCCTCTGAGAGCCGCATACTTGCTTTCCTCCCAAAGGTTGTGTCACAGTTTCACATCAACTAGGACATCTTTCTCCTGGTATTCTACCCTAAGCCTCATTCCAATGGCAGGGAGCAGAGGCTCCACTCTCTGGATGTCCGCAGGGCACTAGCCTTTTACATCGAGAGAACAAAACCGTTCAGAAAATCAGTCCAGTTATTCGTGTCAGTGACAGACAGAATGAAAGGTCAGGCTGTGTCATCACAACACATCTCGTCACGGATAGCGTCCTGTATTCGTGAGTGCTACAACCTGGCAGGTGTTCCTGCATCTCCAATCACTGCGCACTTCACCAGGGCGCAGGCTTCATCAACAGTGTTCTTGGCTCAGGTTCCCACTCAGGAAATCTGCAGGGCAGCGATATGGTCCTCCATCCATACTTTCGCCACACACTATGCGATTACCCAGCAGGCCAGAGATGATGGAGCAGTGCTCCAATCAGTGGAAGACTCCGATCCCACTACCTAAACTTGGGCTTGTGAGTCACCTGTTTGGAATTGACATGAACAAGCACTCAAAGAAAAAACAGTTACTCACCTTCTCGAAACTGTTGTTCTTCGAGGTGTGTTGTTCATGTCCATTCCAATACCCACCCTCCTTCCCCTCTGTCCGAGTAGCTGGCAAGAAGGAACTGAGGGGGTGGCGGGTCAGCAGGGATCTATATTGAGCTCCATGAAGGCGCAACTCCAGTGGGCGCCCGGACCGACCAGATGGATGCTGCTATGGGAAAAATCTTCCGTGCATGTGCGCACACACACACACTTGATTGGAATGGACATGAAGAACACATCTTGAAGAACAACAGTTACAAGAAGGTGAGTAACCATTTTTTTTTCTTACTAATCTTTTTCCTAAAGCCTCATGATAACAAACATAAGGAGAGATCGCACCCTCTGGACACTAGAAGAGCTTTAGCATTTTATTCAGATCAGACTAAACCTTTCAGATCTTCGTCTCAGTTGTTTGTTGCGCTTGTGGACAGAATGAAGGGCCAGAGAGATTGTTGAGTCATTTGACTAGGTCCCGAACAACCTCAGCAGTATTTTTTGCCAACATGCCCATATTAGACATTGGGAAAGAGGCAACGTGGATATCATGTCACATGTTTGCCTCTCACTACGCTATTGGCAATCTAAAGACAATGCTAAATTTGGACGAATGGTCCTTTGGTTCCTGTTCAAATAGTTCCTGAACCCACCTCCAGTTGGGACTGCTTGTGAGCCACGTGCAGTGGAATGGACATGTGCAATCACTTGAAGAAAAAGGTTACTAACCTTTCCGTAACTGTTGTTGTTCAAGATGTGTTGCACGTGTCCATTTCCATGACCCATCCTCCTTCCCCTCTCTATCAG